GCTCCCATGGTGGCACCTGTGGCCCCCATCCACCGACTGGGCTTGTCCCTCTCCTGTGCCGTGTTGGGGCTGAAGCCCAGAGAGGATTAAAGCAGATTGTGTTGGAGCTGAGGGGCTGGGTGCTGGCTCTGCCACGTGGCATTGCCCCATGTAACAACCCCAGGGCATCCCCAGGTCACCTTGGAGCTGGAGTGGTGAGGGTCTGGCAGCCCCCCAGCCAAGGATTGCTTTGGGAATGAAATCTGTAAGCAGGAAGGAAAGGGAGGGAGGAAGGTGGGGTGGGAGACTGGAGTTCTCCCTTGGGGTCCAGGAGTGGGAAGGTGGGTGGTATTCCCCTGGGTCTCGGCTCTCCCCTGGGATGCTGATAGAAATGATGTCCCTCGTTGGCACTTAGTTTGGCCTTGGGACTGAAAACCTGACACTAGCTTGAGTGCTGGGATGTGCAGCTGAGTCCTGCTGGCCTCTGGCATCTGTCACATCTGTGGCCAGCTCTGGAGGAGGGCGTTTGCCTTCCAAGGGCCTGAGCTTGTTTGGTGCTAAACCTCAGATCCTCGTCCGCGTGACTTTTGGTTGAAAACCGAGTGTTTTCTGGGGTGGAGGAGCAATTTCCTTAAAAACACAACTGGTCCTGGTCTGGCTGTGCTGTGGAGAGGTTAGCTCCCTGCCAGGCCCCCAGAGCTGCCACTGCTCCACCCCTGCCTGCTCCTGGAGCTGGGATTTGCTCGAGGGTGGTGGGTTGCTGCCTTCACCCAGGGTTTGGGGGGGAGGGATTGCACCCCTCTTCTGCCCACAGCTTTGTGAAGGTGATGAAGTGGGTGGAAGCCTCAGCAGCTGAGAGCCACAGTGGGATGTCCAAGACCACGAAATGATCCAGGGGAGCAGAATTTGGGTCAGGTCAAAGAGCTACACCAGGGACCTCCTGAAGGAAACCAACTGGCTCCAGGAGATTATGTGGGACCTGAAGATCTGAGTGAAGAGGGACAAAGGGATGGCCAAGTGCACGTCCTGCAGCCGCAGAGTCCCAGCTGGTACAGCCATGGGCAGAGAGGTGATGGCAGGTTGGGGCCCCTTGTCGTCGGGTAGCCCCAGTGCTGTGGGAGATGCTCGTAGAGGTGGGGATGGAGCAGAGGAAGGTCTGGTGCCAGCTGGAGCAGAGGAAGGAAACGGCAGCAGTGCTGTGGTGCGTGTGGCCCAGCAAGGGCCCCAGTGCCTGTTCCAGGACCTGCTGGGCTGTGGGCGAGGAGCTGCCTGTACTGGGGCTTGGTGAAGCCACGCTCGCAGGGCACGCAGCGGGACAGGGCTCTGGGACACTGTGGCAGGGGCTGTGGGGACACCGCCTCTCAGGCTGCCTTCTCCAGCAGGAGACTTGTAACGGGTCTGCAAGGAGGAACCTGAACTCCTCCAGCTGCTGGAAGCTCCAGGGTTCTGGCCTAAAACCACCTAACTCGAGAACGCTGAGGCCAGCCCTGAACGTCGCTGCAGAGGGCGGGAGCAGCGCTCGGGTGCTGCCGAGCTGCGCGGTCCCAGGCGGCTCCACGCTTGCCACGCCTTCTCAGCAAAGCTGAAGGGGTTTTGGGAACCTTGGGCCGGGGGAACAGGGATGGGAATATGGATTTGAGCTGCA